GATACCACCTTAGGTTAGAAAAATATTTTTAATAATTTTTTTTACCGAGAAATCGAACGTTCAATCCATGAGTTCATAATTATATAATGTGTGTTGATCCAAATAAATGTGTGTTGTCCTTCATGTCTAAAAAGACCAAGTTCATGCAAAGGTATAGTTAAAATGCAAAGGTATTTGGACGAACACATGCCCTCTCCCACAAAGAAACAGATTAAATAACTAAATACCATTCTTAGTTGGGTTAGTTAAAATGTGTTATCCTTAATGTTATCTGTTCATCATTTCTTGTGATCTCCGCCTCATTATTTTTTTACTTCGAAATACTACAATCTTTTTACAGGGAAGATGAATCACTATATATGTCTCAGTTCATGCACCATTCTTTTGTGTACTCCACATAACAATTTATAAATTACATTGAAAGTAAGAGATAAACGAATCTAGCCAGTACAACTACTTGATATATTTATCATTTTTCTTGTCATGGAATTCTGCGACACATTGTTCAAATTTCGGTAGCTAAACGCGAGCCTAGAAATTTGTCAAAAGATGAATTGTTCAACATTAAAATTCAGGGAGAATACACATCAACAAAATTTATGCATCTTCAACTAAATAGTTCTACATAAGAAGAATCGTGTATTTAACTACCCCAAATTAGAGAGATCATATTTGTGGAAAAGGGTGAAGCTTATGTTAAGTGTTATTAAATGTTTGCAAAAGTATGTATAACAGAATGAAAAGATTTAAAATGGAATAGTAGTAAATTATCTCAACAAGCAATGGAATTTAACAATCTAATGGAAAGGACATTCGAGAAACTACGCACATATACCGAAGTTAAAAAATCAAATTTGAGAAAAATAATTTTAAAATCGAAAACATTAAGTGTGACCAAACCATGTATATAACACAAATGTATCATGAATTAGATTGTTAAATACGAGGTTGGATTGGTTGAACCACAGTCTTTAATCGGCAAGATTTTCTCAAGATATATGTAGCCAGATATCTATTTTCTGTTGTTGGATTGCTACATTTCCACATGAAAGTTTGTAGACTCGACAACAAACATTGAGGAACGTAATTTAATGGCTTCCAGCAAGCCGATGTATCCATTCCATCTTGTGTGTTGTTTCCCTAAGAAATATAACACGAACTGTGTTAGACCAAAGATAATGGTGAAGAATTAGACCAAAATAATAGTCGTCTATCGGAGAATTAATTAAACTTACAATGAACTCAAAGTCTCGTAGTTTGGGAGAACTTTTGAGCAATCAGAGTAGTAACTTGGACCAAATTGTGTAATCTACATGAAACTTGAGATGCTCAAGCTCATTAAAGACGATAGTTTCACCATATACAGCCTATGCAAAGGAAGGCTTAATAATTAGTATCCTAAGTGATATTGTGAGATTGACGACTTGAAGATTATCAATGGACAAATTACCTCTGCATTGTTGCTTCTTACGGATAATGAAAGACGTTTGACAAAGGTGACACGTTCGAAAAGCTTCTTGACACCAGGGAACTGAGCAAGAGTGATATTTGCCTCTTTCAACTTATGCATATTCAGAACGAGATAGGTGAGATTATATGTTAAATCTCTTATTTTGAAATACTTCAAAGAAGTTTAAAGAAGGAGTATCAATCACATACCCATCATGACAGCGTGTACCATGAACCTCAAAGGATAAACTAAGCAACGACGGAATAATAATAGCGAGCTTTCTCACATTCTCAGCTTCAAATCGTTGCACAAATAGATCTTCAAGAACATAGCAATTTGATAGAAGCCGTTGAAGAGATTCTTCATCTGCGTATTTCACAGATTGAAGGTGCAAAGTTTTCAAGGAAGGAAGATAAACCACACGAGGAACATCCATGAGAATCATATATCTCAGTTTCAGTGTCACAAGAGAATTACAAGTATACAAACTACTCGGAAGTAAAGCTTTAACCATGCGGTGTTGGATCAAATATTTAACACTTAGCTCACGCAAATAGCGAGAAACCGCAATCTCAACCCATAATTTG